TAGATTAAGTGTGAGGACAAATTGTTTTTGAACACATTAAGGGGGTTTCGATTTCCGTATAGCCAAGGCTTCAATAAACCTTAATATACGTCCTTGAAGGTTTTTGTATAACACGGCAAATGCTGATTTGATGTGAACCTTATGACCCATCTCAATCAAATGTTTTGCAATGGAGGATAATGTTTGTCTATCCTGTTATCTTATTTGACCATTGGAATCCATCGCTTTCTATGGATAATACACATTATTTTGAATTTATCGGAGATAGTGATTTTGTTATTAATCTTAGCAGCTATTTTGATTGTTTATTCATAGATATTCATTTAGAAGAACTATATTCGAATAATTTGAGCATTCGTAATAGTGACAGAATTTTTATCGCAGGAGAAGTTTATTAGCCGTATGTACTTCTATAAAACTGAGTATTTTTTTAATTAATGGCATAATTTACGATGTATTAACTTTCATTGATTGCTTTTTCTATGATGATTTCGCAATATTTAAAAGTTTGCTTTCAGTTGTTCTTTTTATTGTACTTCTAAGTGATTTTTATTTCTAATTTCTCTATGAGGTAATGTAATGCGAATGTCATTATTTTCATATGTATGTGAAATAAGTATACGTTGTTATACAGATGTGAATAAAAATATTCATAGAGATTACGAAGCAAAATTGTTTTTAAATACAAAAAACAAGTTGTCAACTGTAAGGTTTATTGTTTCAAATTTTCTATAATATGAATAGTTTATATTGTTACTAGAGATTTTCAATTACATTTATTCTACATTTTTACTTGGTAAGAACATGGAGATCATATTGTGATGTATGGCAGTTCTAACTAGTATGTAACACCAACCAGAAGTGGAATGTCTGGCAACAGAAGATTGAGGAGATCAAATTGAAGAGAACACGAATGTCAAAAAAGACTAATTGTAATAAATATAAAGCTGAAGAAATCATGAAGCATGTAAAGGACAACTGAAGAAACGTGTATAAATAATGTATTTAATGTACAGTTTCATATTTTATGAAGGTACTCTGCAATGCTGCATTAAATAATAAATGGGTTATCCTGACCAACCCTTCGTTCACTGCAATATGTTTACATTATTGCCTAGAAAAGATCATTCGATTGTCACATTTCTTTTTTGTGCATATCCAATAAAGTACTAATGTAATTCCTCGTAGCCGAGTTATACACTGTTTATTATCTGTACATAAAACTGTCTACTTAGCTTATAATAATTTGACTAGTTCCGGAATAATGGACTGTTCTTATGGGCTCTAAGTCTGCATTCTTGAGACGCATATAAGTGGTTCGCATTCACATCAAACATTTATTGTACTGTTCAAGGTTCATTCAATAACTCTCGGGTATTCTGATTGCTCTATTTGCAGAAATACATTTGAGAATGCCTTCATTTTGTTTCATCGGTGAAGTTACTATTTTTAGAAACATCGTAAGTAAACAAAATTTATTCTACCATATATGAGCGATCCTTGCAAATTCATATGTTCTTAAATTGAAGACATCATGTTTTTTATTCATTCAATTAAGTATGAACTAGATTGTAGAAATGAAGATAATCAAATTTCATTATACCATTCGTGTTGAATTACTAATACTTCTATAATTATTCTTTAAAATTTTTGATTTTCGAAACCGTACTTGTAGTCATGATTGGCATCAAGTTGTAGCTTCAAGGTTACGTTGTATGTATGCACTTATTAGAAGTTCCATAAGATTTAGGATGTATTTATGTTTGTATTATTCAAAAACCTTATTGTGTGATTATTCAGTCACTCAGAATTAAGGTAACAACTGTTTTTTACATGTCTTAGAATGATACATCGAGTTTAGTTGAAAACTAATTTAAATGCATTGTTTTAAAAGTGTACACTTAAAAAAATATACATTTTAGAAATGGAGCCGGATACAAGTGTTTTTACTTATTGTTTAGTATACAATCTCACTAACAAAAGTATTTTCTCTTTGTTACGGTTGAGAGTATAGTACAAGGCACCATTCCAATGTAAAATATTTGTTGAATGAATCTCTATCCAGCCTTCTGATTGAGTGACAATGTCACCAGTCACTTTAATCTCTTGGTTTCTTCAACTATTTTGTGTTCAGTGGTTATCCTTGTAATCATTATTGAAATACGGTCATAGTTGCAACAAATAAATTTGAATAATACGATAAGTTATTAAAAAGTGTGTTTAATTGCATCACTAAACGCTGCCGATTTGCAGTCCCATTTGTGCAGCTTTTCGAATGGAAGACGTATATGAGGGTTTTCACAAAACCTACTGAAGTATTTTTTCAACAGACGATCATATTGGTCTGCTTAATGTAATTTAAAGTAATTCTACCGAAACTCAGTACACTATCCTTTTGTCAATAAGTTATAGACAAATATATATTAGATCTAACCTCAAATATAAAAATCTTCAATTCACTATGCATAAGTACTCAAAGATTATTGTGTACTCCCATTTTATCTAGTTTACAAGGAACAGAGTAAATTCATTTTAAGTCGATACATTTCTCTTCTTATCTAATGAGATCACCAAGAGTAATGAAATTCAATTCTTTAATCTGTCAAATACTTGAAATGGTTAATGCCTAATTTAAACTCCTTTACCTTCGTATGTTTAAGAGTAAAGGACAGAAACGGGGTGTTCGAGTGCATTCATTTGAGCAGCTTCAAGTTAAAACAAAACAACAGTTCAAAGATTCTTGATTTTCATAAATTCACAGGGTGATAATAGTTCACTACAAAACTATCTCTTTATTACTTAAAATACCTATGAAAGACCTCAGTGGATTACTTAATTACCTCCAGGATTTTAGATGATGAAATAAAGAATGGCTCTGAATTCTTTAATGTTGAATTTATTATTAGAAACAAAGTAAGATGTTTTATCTTACACTTAGTGATTTACCAAAGAATATTAGTAACATACTGGAGAATATGGCGAGACTATAATTTATAGACGAACTTATCACGTATAAGATAACAGGTCTCAGATTTTGGCGCGAAATTCACTCAACCATTTCGCTAAATAAAGTCTTGACATTATAGCTGATGTCAGTTTGTGATGAAAACCCTAAATCTAATTTCTAACCTTAACCATAATGTGAAAATCGTAATTAGAAATCCTCACACTAATTTATAACCCTCATTTGGTCCTAGTTATCAGGTAGACACTCTCAAGGTCAGTCTAGCGTCGCTCAAATTTTGTCCATAAATAATAGTCTCACAGAAAATATCTTAAACTTCATCTCCAAACTAATGTATAAACTAAATTGTAAAAAAAGCTTAATTCAAATTCTCGAAGTATTTTATTTCTAGTAATTTTATTCATTCATTCATTCCTAATCTCTCATGTTATTCATTATTTATTATTTCTGTTTATATATTATTACTCCTGAGTTCCTACTGATATCGAAAAACTAACATAAAAAAGGGAATATAACTGCAAAATAAACACATTGAAATGATTAATTATTTTTTCAATAGTTGAAATCATGAGTCAATTGAAGCTAGACCACCATGGAAAACCTGGAACCACGAGACGGCCGTTTCGTCCTAGTATGGGACCCTTTCTGATAATAATCATCTGCTCACTAGTGACTGACTTCAAGAGATACTCCTGGAGTTCTAATGAGAAGCCCTGACCAGTGAAGTTCAACCAGATCTGTTGTGAGATATCAGCTCATTGAGGACAATGGTGACGGTGGCGTAACCTCGTGGATTGGTTGAAGTTAGACATTAACACCGTCGGATGCCGACTCAGTGGTCAAGTTAGTTAAGCGCCTGGCGCGAGACTGGTAGGTCCTGTGTTTGAATCTCGCGGAGGGCGGGGTCGTGGATGCGCACTGCTGAGGAGTCCCATACCAGGATGAAACGGCCGTCTCGTGGTTCCAGGTTTTCCATTGTGGTCTAGCTTCAACTGACTCACGATTTAACTATTGACTTTACTAATATCTCTACAAACCCCTTCTGATATTATTTTTTGTCTTTTAGCTTCTGTAATATTCATAATAATCATCTATAGGATCGATCACTACTTTAAAATCTCAGATGTAACTAGGTGGTCCATTTTCTGGTTTCATTTTCTATTTTAAAATTACTGTATCCAAAAAAATATTAATCATTACATTTTTTATTTTAACATGATAGTGTGATTTCTTAATATGTATGTGATATGTTAACAAATTTCAATCATAATTTATTGTTTTCCTGTTTGTGTATTGGAAGACATAAATATTGATCCTTTCCATTTGATTCTATATATCTAAATTTATATAAAATATTTGGCAAAGGACTTGTCAAACTTTATGATTTGTTTAATTCATTTGATGAATTACAGTTTCGTTTATTTGCTTAGTAGTCTAAGATTAACTTTTGTTATTATTAATATTGTAATGTTCAATTTTTAGTCAGCGGAATGGTTAGTATGTTTGGAGGCTGAACATTGATGATTAATGATTGTGAGTCATTAACCAGTACTATTATTATAATGATAAAAATCCACCCATACGTGTGCAGCCAAATATTCGTAGACACAATAAAGCAGGCATTATAAGAAAACACTAGATCAATCCTAATGTATTATATGTAGTTTTAATATTCACAGAACAACCACCTTGTAAGACATGTAACAGTATCAGCTCTCTGGATTTTTGTAGATTCAAAATATTTTTACAGCTGTAGTTGATATATTTATCATGGATACTAGATTTCAAGTATCATGTTATTGAATTATATAACATTTGTGATTGCACCATTTTCATGCAAAACACTGCTGTTATACATTCGAGAAAAAGAAATGTCTTCGTTACTTACACCTAAACTGTTTCCATTAAAATTGAAGAACTGGTTACTATCTTATACTGACTGAATATTATTTCGCTATAAATACAAGCATTCAACAACAGTTTCATAGTGATTTATCATTTACTAGTAAAATTATTTATCAGAAGCGAATAATGTGATAAAATGAATCTAATGAATTCTTTATTTATTAATTCACACTACATCGTTTCTACAATAACTCCAAAACAAAGAATACATTGTTATAAGACTTTATACGTTACATAAAGGAAAACAAAAAGTATTGAAATTTGATATCAATTTGTATTATTTCAAATTAACCATTGTCGTTCAATTTCTTAATCGCTATAAAACTTATATATATAACAATCTGGTTCATAGCGAAAACAAAAGGTTGATTTCGGTTTCGTTAAGGTACTTATACGGCCAACTTTAATTGGATTAGTAACTCGTTCAAATTTCCATCCTCTACCGTAGTCTCTTTCTAATTCATTCAAAAATGGTGACATACTAACAAATGGATCGTCTCGATCCCATCTTCTTACAACATACAGTATACATTTCCTTTCTAGATCACATTCCATATCAGAAAAATATATTGTAATGCATGGATATTCCGGTGGAAGTTGTCTTTCGAATTGTTTTATGCAATCAATTTCTTTTTGTGCACTGCAAAATAAGACAATAAGCATAATGAAAATAACATGTAGCTATAAAATATATAAAGAATAATGTCGAAGGATACTAGGATATATTATATCTAAACTGTCTATATATAGTTTGAATACAAGTAATTTTACAGATTTAATGAGATATCATTAACTCATATTAAATATGTTATACGCTAAAAGATCACTACGTAGAAAACAATAGAAAACATTAATAGTTTAGGTAAAACAGTGTAGTGATTCTTTCTTTTTCTAATATCGAGTCAATCGGTTGAGTCATAAATAAATTCGTTCATAAATTAATCTGCAATAAATATAACATGATGTTTATTGGTATACTTGCTATATGTAAAACCAACAAACCTATCCTTTATTAAATATAGTTTTTGAAATATATTTTCAATGTATTACTTCATAAGAAGATATATGCATATTTGAGATATTTGAAATTAACATCCCCTTTGAAAAATCTTTCAATTTCATTATAAATCCATTGAAATCTGTTACTACCAGATAGATTGATTGGTTTTGTTAAAAGTTATAAAGTATCATACGTAAATATTATTATTTTACAAAAAAATTAAAATTAATGTTTGCGTAGGGTTATTCTCAATAAAATGATTTTAATTATTGTAAGTGTTAAAGTTGAAAGATAATACAAAAATTGCCGAAGAATGTTGGTTCATTCATGTAAATATATTATATCTCTATATCGTACACTTCGTCATTTAGTTTCTAATGTAAAAATACTTGTTTTTCTTATTTTTCATTTTATACTGATTAACTGAAATGATAATAGTGCAATCGAAGAAATTTATTGAAATAGGTTTTCATCACAAATGGTAAGTGTTAAAGTCTATAAGTCATTTTCATTATTATAAAGTAATAATGAACATCTTTTATGTATTACAATATATGTTTCTATATCAGATAAAAGTTCATTGTATGTTTACTGAACCCTTGAATCTTATAGACACGGCAACTATAAACACTAATCATATAAGTATAAATTCAACTAAATTTATGAAAATCACAGTTGGTTATAAATATTCATAAGTGATTTTTTTAGAAAATAACAGTGTAATACGTAGATATTAATAAATGTTATTAAATGATTAGGTATACAAATAATTTATTTTACATAATGTAAAGATAATAATGAAGCAACTTACATTGTCTGACTATTTAAATTTGTTGATGGTTTATCATGAATTCTTGTAGCATATCCATTTGGCATGTTTAAGTTTGGATTTAATAAATGCATAGATTTCTAAAACAAAATTATTTAGATGCATCTTACTTAAATTAAACATAGTTTTCATGTGATTTTAGATTTACAAATTATACGTTTTGTATAGCATGAAATATGAATAAGAATTTATAATAATAGTAAGAGTAGTATGAAATTTTACATACCAAACTTATTTATCATTAATTTGTTAGGATGTAAATTAAGGCGGACAATACTATATGTACTGGATACAGTGGATATAGCACACATTGCGTGAATCATAAAACTGAATCACGAGAGAAGCCTTAACTTGGAATTCCAAAGGAAATGGTAAAATAGTTAGACCAGAACACATATTGAGTTGGGAACGGGAGGCAGACATCAAAGGAATGTATAGCACTTGAGAACAACTAGAAAGGAGAGTGCATAGTTAGAGTTGGTTGGAGATATCTGGTCGATATTCTATGTTCCACGAGGGGAAACAGGTGTAAGTACGTGAGTAATATAACATCAGTTCCTTATAATCTTATGAAAGTATTTATTCACGAATCTGATGAGTTTTATTATTTTTTGGTGTATACAAATTTTCACTGGTGCTCATGAATATATCTTTACAAGTTATTCAGTATATCCGTAGAAAAATGAAATTTAAAAGAATTTAGCTTTAAATGACCAGCCATAAAACTTATCATTTTATTAGTAATTTGATTAGAACATGAGCTAATTGCACAGACGATAATATATAATACTAGGGTTATGTGGTTAAAATTTAGATTTCGTAAACGCTGTCATCAGTAGAAAATATATAAGATGTTGTGAAAATCAACGTTGCCCTTACTGTTTTAAACCTCATCATTCAAAGTTACAATTGGAAACATTACCAGTACGTTATTCAGTTTATAATCTCTGTAGAACAGTAATGTCAACATCAACTGAACACTTAGTTTTAACTGACATCGTGTTATTTGATTTTAAATATTGATATAATGTAATGAAATAAGTTACAGATTTTTACTAATCCTCGACTGAATATGGCAGTGGAATTTGTTTCGGTAATTATCAATAATTTACGCAAAGCTTTAGACCAACCTGAGAGATAAGCATTTAATACTAACAATGTCTATCATTCAGTAATCGATCACTTTATCTTTGTTTGAATTAACGCATTATGGATAAATTTGGCTATAAACATTTGGAAAACTGAATTAAAAATAATAATTGGAGACTGAAGTTTGCTGTAGTAAATCTCACTCCTAGTTGTTTATACAAACGTTGTTATTAAATTTTCATTATAATTACCAGTCAAATCAAACAATCCTGTGCCTTAACCCAAATGTTCGACATCTAACGCGATAGATATGAAATAAAGTGAATACTTATAATTATCATAAAGTATGGTATGCAGATGCCCTGGACAGTTTTTGTCAATAGACACGAAACGATCCATCAGCCAGTCATAAACAACGTAGAATGTGATCGTTATTTATATCTATTCGATTTGCCACACTACATGTACATAACAAGATGAAATTATTAAGATAAATTCTAAAGGAGTAGGATTATTAACGGTGTCATTGGTAGCTGAGAAGAGCAGATATTGACAGTTTGGTTCAGAAAGCAAGGGTGAACTCAAGACATTCTAAATTATAAAATATGTTCGGAACTGAAGTTCTATGCAAAAACATTAAAATGGATCTATCGCACCATGAAAGACTTAAGTTTATGTCAGCGATTGTATCCAACCATTAGTTACGATAATCATGTAGACCTCAACCACGTAGTCTATACTAACCAACACGGTTCAGACCAATAATTAGTGGCTTCACGGAACAACAAACATCTTTGCAAAAATGTGTGATGGTAGTTTCTGCATTTTGAAATTCAAGTGAATTTCGTCTAAATAATGGCGGATCGACTAACCTATTTACAAATGATAATAAAAAATAATTTTCCAATGAAAATAGTTTTATCCACCTTTGTTTGTACATTCCCTTTGTTAATATTAAGATTCGTATTTTTATATTCACTTTCAGCAAATATGAACTGACACCTCGATATTTGAAGGAGCTGAAAATCGGCAATTTTTTAGGTCTGACTGAAATCTAAATTCATCACACGAAAGTTAATCATTGATTAGCTGATAGCATTATCAACTCACTCATCCAAAGAGTTTATGTGCCAACGAAGAATCAATTATTGCAGTCCACAATGAACAAATAAATCACTAAACTTTCAACTGTTTATACTAATAATTAAGTGAAGAGATGTAAAAATGGGCAGTATAATAAACTTCCAATTTTGTAAGGTGAACTTACTTCCAGAAACGTGTTAACCAGCACTTGCCTATGATGGCATTTTTCAAAATCCTCAACTTCCGGGGGTCTTTTAATTGCTCTTGGCATAGTAGGTTCAACTGTTTATTTGGATTGATTTATTATTTTAAAAAAATAAAGAGAATTAGTCAATATTTATTGCCAAGAGACTTTAATTGTTTACGTAAAGAATCTTTAAAGAGTTTCCAGTATACAAAACAAAATTGATTAATCCTATATATATACTCTCAACATATTGTATGTGACAGTGTTTCTGCTTTCACTAACACATGCACAAATGCTGTAAAAGTAGAATCCGAAGCACGAATGCACACATGATCATATTTATGTTAACTTATTATTGTGTAATATAGTTACAGAGTGTAATTGATGAGTGTGTTTGTTTTTTAATATAATTATGGCTTTCGATACCATTTATAAGCATAATAAATTTACGTCTATTAGTAAAATAAGTTAAACGACATGACAGGCATGGTATTATGATCAATTATTTCAATTATTTACCAAGATTCATATCGACCAACCTATGTATAATTGTTTTTATTGAAATAAAAATCCAACAACTATCGCCGTCGATGCATCGTCGAGAACGGAATGTTTTAGTATATATTTAAGTAATATGACCGTAAATTATAATCAAATCATTTATAATATATTTATCAATAGGGAGAATATGTAGACCTATATATATATGCATATAAAATAATAGACATTTATAATTGTACTTATCAAACTACCTGACGATAACTGAGTTCTGTGTAAAGAACAATTATTTGGCTTGCTGCTCTATGTGACTTTATTGCTAACCACTCACAATTCTATTTAAAATACATATGAAAAAATAGATCAGATTTCTTATTTCTTTATTTCAGTATTACTTAAGAAACTGTAGGAAACGATTGAGGAGTATTCCTTTTCAGGATTACTTACAAACCAAAACAAGGTTATTTTGGCAACTGCTTTGATCACAAACATTATTTATTTGACTATTTTAGTTACAACTATGTCACACAGCTGTTATTGTTGTAATGCATCTCAAATTAAAAAACAAAAAAATACATTTTAAACAAATAAGTTATTGGGTAATAAATTTGTAAATTGTATCTTTAGAAACTGTTGTTTTAAATTTAATAAACTTTTGTAAGTTGTTTTATTAAACGATTTATCCTATATTATAATGTATTTATATATTCATTAAAATGCCATTATAAGACACAAAGATTACTGAAAATTCATAATCATCGTCACCGCTTGTTAGACAAATATCACTTTCATAGAAGGGAAGTATAAATGTCGTGTAAATGCATGCATGCATATGTCAGATATATCATATTATTGAATATCCTTTAAGAAAACAGTATAATTTACATGCACTAAAGCATTTGTGTTTTCCATTTAATTTAAAATTCTATAATATTAATACCGTCTTGGTTGTGTTTTTTTTACATTAAACGATGAATCAAAATATTTTTTACACAGGATTGATAAAAATATAATAAGTTTATACTCTATCATTAGTATTGAGTTACATTATCTATTGGGAGGTACTTTAATTACGATAGCGTAATAAGAAGACGAAGATTATTATTCTTATTACACTTTAGAAATTTATCAAAGAGACCAATTACTTTAGAGACTTTAATATCAGATCAGTTTATCGGTCATATATTTCACATTTCAGTAATGAAACTTAAGTTTTTACAAGAAATTTAAACAAAATTGTAAAATACAGATTTATTATTAAAGCGAAAAAAATTAAAGACTTTGTTCGCTTAGCAAATGAGATTTATTTTGAAAGAGAAAATTAAAATTAGTAAGTTTAGTTAGGTGACTAAAGTTGAAAGTGTACACATGCGTAACTCTAAAAAACTACTGGATAGTCTACTAGTCTATAATTATTAAGGCTAAAATAAAAACATTTCAATTATTCAAGTCAATTCAAATGTGAAATAATCTCAGTATTTAGATGAAGAAAGGTGAAAAGAGTTAATCAATTATTACCAGCTCTATCTGTTAGCATTTATACTCACTTCTGCGAAAGCTGATAAATTTAACATAAGATGAATACATCTCATGAAAATTAATCAAAGTACCAAAGTCTACTACTTACTTATTTACTCCTGTTACATCTCGTGGAGGAGCATAGACCACCCGTTAACATACTTCATCGAGCTCTGTACTGTACAGTTCATTCCAGTTGCCATTCATCCTTTTTCATGGCTGCTTCAAATCGCTGACTTGATGTGTTCTTTAGTCTTCTTATTCTTTTCCATTCAGGATTCCATGTTAAGGCTTGCCTCGTGATGCAGTTTGATGATTTTCACAATTAATGTCTTATCCGTCTTTAAAATCCTTTCCTAATTCTCTCTTCTGTTGAAGGTTTGCTTATTCTCTCTAACAGTAGACTGTTATTGATTGCATTTGACCAACGGATCTGGAGTATCTTGCATAAATAACTGTGTATAAACATTCGTACATTTGATTATGGTTGGTGTTGTTCTCAACGTTTCAGCTCCGAGCAGTAGAACTGTCGTCACGTTCGTGTTGAAGATTGTGACTTTGGTGTTTGTTGGCAGTTAGGTTTCAGTTCCATATGTTCCTCAACTGTAAGAATGACGCCCTTAATTTATCAATCCGTGCCTTCAAATCTTCATCAGAACTCTTTTGCTTATCAGTGATACTTCACGGGTACATAGATTTTAACACCCCTTCCAAAGTTTCGCCATCAAGTGACATTGTGTTGGTGTTCACCGTGTTGTAATTTCTGCCCTATATGTGTTGAAGCCCATTGATGTAGAGGCTGCTGCTTCACTCGTTGTCTTCATCTGCATTTGTTGGTGTGTATGGGATAGAAGAGCTAGCTCATTTACAAAGTTCAAATCGTCTTATTGCATCCATGCTGTCCGTTGTATTCCGTGATTTCCATCAGTTGTGGAGGTTTTCACAATCCCGTCAACCATTAGAAGAAAGAGGAAAAAGAAGAGTGAACGGCCTTGTTTTACGCCGGTCCTCACTTGGAATGATTTTGTCAGCTGTCCACCATGCATGACTTTGCAGTATAGTCCATCGTAGGAATTCCGGATGATGTTGACGATCTTCTCAGTACAACATAGTGTTGAAGATGTTTTCATTATGTTCTCCTATCCACTCCGTCAAACACTTTCTCAAAGTCAATGAAGTTGATGTATAGTGACTAATTCCATTCAATTGATTGTTCAGCGATAATCCGTAGTGTCACAATTTGGTCTTTGCACGACCAATCCTTACGGAATCCTGTCTGTTGATCCTGAAGTTAGGCATCTACTGAATCCTCCATTATGTTCAACAATCCTCTGTTGAAAACATTTCTTAGTACCAATAGAAGTGTGATGAATCTGTAGTTCTCACGTTTGCTCAGATCTCCTCCATTTATTATCTTGATATCTATGGTATTCTTCTTCTCAGTCTGATATCACTTGCGTTTCCCTCCACCAAATTTTCTTGAATAGAATGTGGAGCATGTTTGCAGGTACTACTATGTCTGAACTCAGTGCTTCAGCTGCTATGTCGTCAGGTCATGCTACTTTTTTCTACTCTTCAGTTGTATAATGACCATCCTTATTTTATGGATCACTGAAGGAGTACGATCTATAAGGAGGCCCTTAGGTGTTGAATCTACTCCCAGTGGGTTGAATATGGCTGGTTTATTCAACACTTCCCCAAAGTACTCTATCAAACTGTTCCACTCTTCCTGAATCTCATTCATTCTACATAGACGGTCCCTCTGGTCTACAATAATTCACTACCGGTTTATTCGTTGTGTCATTTAGTTGCTTCATATTTCTCTCTCTAGCAGGATTTTCCCTTGTCGTTGAGATGTCTACCACGTATTTTCAATTGTTGACTTCAATGTCCCTCTTCACTCGCTTGATTGCTTCACTGTAATCAGCTTGTGCCTTGACTGTCTAAGCTCTTGTTCGACTGTTGTTTATTACCGTCTTCTTCTTCTTCTTCTTCTTCTCAAACCTTTCTTAAATCTTACAAATGGTTTCGTCAGAGATGCATTCCTTATGATGATGCTTGTTGCGACCAAGAACCTCCTGAAACGTTGAAATTAGTGTTCCTTCGATCCATTTACTCTTCTTCCAATAGATCGTGTAAGGCTTGGAACCTGTTGTTGAGAGCTATCTTGAATTGGTTCAGTTTGTCAGTATGTCGAATGAAGGCTGTGTGGAATCTATTGATGCTGTTTCTGAAGTTCTCCAGTGATTCTCCAGTTTCATGTTCATCTTGTCAACCGTCTGGTAGATGGTGATCTGAAGCTACCTCAGATCCTCTCCTCTCGTCATTCTCGTTTGTATCTCCTAGTTAGTTCATGTGATCCCATGATATCTTCATATCGATTGTTGTTCATTCCAACTTTGACGATTGGGTCTGCCATCAGCATGATTAGTTCCTTCCTTGACACTTCGCTATGACGGATTGCAGCCTGTCGTGAAACTGGTCATTATTGTCTTCATTACTATCATTAATGGGTGTTAATAAAATTGGATAGCATTCATTGTGATCCCGTCCTTCTTTGTTCTGAAGGATGTTTTGATGATTCTGGATCCATGGAATTCCCATCTTATAGGTGCTTTACGTGCTTTTTTGACAACATCAGGAAACCTTTTATGGATGTGTAGAGCATTTTCTTCTTCATGACTTGAGTACAGCAGAATCTCTCTAGAATCTAACACTTTTTGTTCAGCTGTTAGATAAGGCATCAGCTTCGTGACTTCCGAAGATTCTTTACTTTCCCTGTGAGGCGTCATAATTCTTCTGAATATCTTTCAACTAGGGGAGCAGAGTTTAAACAGTTTAGTTTGTTTATTCTGGTTGGCGCTTTATTGCAAGGTTTTTTTACGGGATGGGGTTTATGACCCCATGCTCAACCCTCTTTCTTAGTGTGGGCTTGTAGCCGGCAGTAACTACAGGCGGAGTCATGCGTTGAGCTGGATGAATTTATTTCAGACTCTCGATTACCGAATTACATCAAAACGAGAATAGGAAAACCGAAGGAAAACAAAGCACAGAAGGCAAGCGTACCAACTTCATTTAATCAAACGGGACTTGTCATTTATAGCTAAACAAGAGTAAGCTCAAGGCATGTGATCAACAATGCAAATGATACATACACATACGCTCATATAGGAATAGTCAAGGTTAATACGTGAATGATTGATAAGATCAAATGTCTCAAAAAGGATAAATTAACTGGTCTATCTGGAAGTTAGAATAACCCATATGGGTTTAACATAGTACTACACACAACAAATTCTCGCTCTCATTTTGGACTACACTCAACAAAAACTGAGGAAGAATAACAAT